AAATGACTCCACAAGCTCAGAAAGCACACGTGACGTATTTTCTTTTCCCGTGCCATCCCTTCCTGCTTAGCTTCCAGTGCTTTCGTCGGGATGAGAAGAGCGAATGCACTTGCACCGTGCGAGAAACACTTGCAACTCCACGCGTACTGGACGGATTGGAAAAATATTTGCGGCGGTGAATTCATGAGGCAATAAATAAGCTCGAGTCTTCAGTGAATGCGTTCCATTGCTACTTGAAAAAGTGTCACACGGCCACTTTAAGTGAAAATATTATTCCCAAATCAGTTCATTTTATTAAGCTTAAAAGCTAGTTATGACGGCTTATATTCTCCAAGTATAATAAATCTTAAAATGCTACGTATTTTAAGGGTTATGACTCACATTTTGCTGAAAGTAAATTCCTGCTACTACTCAAAGTTCTTTCGAACGAAAAAAAGGAATTTGCATGGCGCTCTATTTAATTTTTTCAAAACATATTGTGCACGTTAGTAAGGTCATAATAAATATGCCCATTTCCCTTTATATGCCATATATACTATTTGAATTCAATACGAAATTATTTGACCAAAATCACTATTCGCTTCAAACCTAAAATCACTATTCGCACTGGCCTATTCGTTCGCATATGCCACTGCGAAGAACTTGCGATTTCACACATTTGCCATAAGAGTAGATCATGCAGTGGTTACTATAACTTCGGCGAAAGTGCGGTGATCATGCTTGCATGGAAATTCATAGGAGCATGATCACGGCTGCCAACAAATGCGGCGACAAATAATCGCGACAAACCTACCAATGATAAATATCTCAATCAATATCATGTACTGCCTGCGCGGCAGTACGTGTGGCTTGGCGGTTTAGCGCTGTTATGGTTCAGCGCTGTTACGGTATCCGTAAGCGTATACTGACCACGCCATGCGCCGCCGCGCCCTTGTGCGTGGTACCGCAAGTGCGTATCGCTCGTAGAAACGAAGGCAACTCGCCGCCGCCGCATTGGCAAAATAGTCTTCCCACCTTTGCTTGGTCCTGTGCTGAGCGAGCACGAAGAGAACAAAAATCTCTATGCAAGGGCAAATGCATGTGGTTACAGGGTGCGGAGCTGATGGAAGTGAGCTTAGTAAACGATGCACTGCATGCAATTAGGGGCACACTCAGTTTGACGTACGATGGTGACGCGTTTCACGTATAGCCACGCCAGTTTTCGCTGGTGGATCACTGTGGAAACGTACGCCCACATGTCGAAGCCTGACGAGTCGTCTGTCAGCTGTGCCGCTACGTCAGCATGTATACCCTCTTCTTAGTTGCAGAATGATCCCATGATAGTGGATATTGTCAAGCGAATGAGCTGACGTGTTTTTCCGCGCAATGGCAAACATGAAAAAGGCCACGCACTTTCGGTAATGTTACAATGCCGTTTTCACACATAGTTTTTTTTTTTTTTTTGTTGCAAACGGTGACGCACGTAAGGTAACGGACGGATCACTGCGTAGTTCCGCTGCGTTCCAGAAAGCGCCTTTGAAATTATCGTACGCACATCACGCGTCAACGTCTCCTGCAATCAACCCTGCGTTCTCACTCGTCATCATGGAAGGTACGAAAGCTTTTCTTTTTGTTTTGTAATAAAGTCCTACCACATAAAAAAAGATACAAAAGGTTCGTTCAACATGTGGATTGAACCCAAGACATCAGTCACAAACTCAATTATTAAAGTCCTAATGCTTTCTGGGAAGTACAGATGGTGACATTTAAAATTTTTTGCAATAACTGAGTATAATAACAATTGTATTGTTTCTAACCTAAATACATGCTTGAGCTAAAGATTGCAAAAAAAGATTGAAAAAAAATTGAACCTTTTCATTATTCAACATTCGATTTGTATTCGAAGCTATGTATTCGTATTCGATTCGTATTCGAAAATTTTGATATTCGCACACCCCAGTTTTCTGCACTTGGTGCCTGAAGATAGCGGCCACCATGACTCTTTCACGCATTAGTGAGTGTTAGTACAGGCAACGCCTCCTCTAGAAAGATGCCTGAGGAATGGCTCACGCTCCCAGAGGAGTTGGCCTGCCTTCAGTTTTAAACAAGCTCCGCGCGGTGGCGCTCGCGACCGACACTATTATCACGGTGACGGGTGGTACCAGCTTAGCGTTTTTCATCTGCGGCCCATAGGGGCGCGTCAGTCGAAAGTTGTTCGAGACCTACAACTGTGCACCACTATTTCGGAGGCTATGCAAAGTGTTGTGTTGTTGCATTGTTTGCCAGAAGTGACGCTAGCGACCGAGAACATTTTCAAAATGAAGGAGAGAAAGAGTGTGGCAGTTTTTTTTTTCTCATGCGGAAGGCATCTTCCTAGGGGAGGCGTTGATAAAGGCAACGCCTCCTATATTTCCTGTGCCTGCCGGATTATCGGTGGTCACGTGGGAAGCAGCGGTCGTCGGAACTAAGGTGGTGGCGCTACTCAAGTAGGGGTGTCTTCAAATAGCTTTTTACGTTTTTAGAGCTTATATGCAACAAAAATAACGTAAACAAGTTTTTAAAAGGCTTAAACGTAATTTAAATTAACCCTTCGTAAGTGACACCGTCATTCAACAAGCAACTTTTTTAATACAAGGCATCCTCTAGAATTAGTAGCAAACACCAAAATTGCCAATCTCAAAGGCCTAGTACAAAGACCTTTACTCCTACGTAGGCAGCGCCGCCACAGATGACCGGCGTTTCGCGCTCATCCGGCAGGCACAAGAAATCAAGGAGGCGTTAGTACAGGGGAGGACAGAGAGTCGTTCGCTCACTGCTTTCTTCTGTGTTCGCCAGCCACGCCAAGGGAAACACAATGGATTGGAGGAGGCATGGTGTCTTGCTCGGCGCATTCGAGCAAGGTGTTTATACGCAGCATCTCATCCAGCTCGTACCCGAAGATAGCGACTGCAGCGGCCCGAATGCAAGCTATGTATAAAGGCCCAACCACACGTACACTTTGCAGCGTGTCAGTGTGTGGTTTTTTGACGCGGCGCCGCGCCTTCTCCCAGCCTATGGAGAGATGGCACGTGCTCTCGCTCTCCATAGGGTGAGAGCATGGCGCCACATCAGAAAGCCTCGCACTGCATTGTGTACGGGTAGTCAGGTCTTAACGCGTTCATGTTAAATTGTGGTATCGTCATGGGAGACATAAAGGCCAGACCACAAGTGCGCCTAAGGTTGCACGGCGGGCTTGTTCTTAAAATTTTTCGTTTTGTAGACGATTTTATTTTATTTGTTGACAGCTCAACCGAACAGTTTGAGGAAGTGTGTTCCAGCATCCAAGTCGCTGATCAAAAGAGCCTTGAACCCCTCCAAGTGTCCTTTGAAATGCCGTGTGACAATGTGATTCGGTTTTTAGATGTCCGATTTGTTTTCAATGATGGTAAGACATGCTGGTATTATCACCCTCGTGCTAACAATCCTATACTGCCATATAACTCGGCGCACTCCAAGCTCGTCAAGCGAGGGATTGTTAAGATGTGCCTTACTAACACCTTGAAGAAGTCCTGCCAGCATTGTTTGCCTTTAAGCATGAGAGAGCAAACAAAACGTTTAGCTGACTCGGCGTACTCACAACACGTCCTGACTTCTGTCGCGGAAAGCCTTCTGAGGCAAATCCGCTCCGACGGGGCAGCAGAAACGCGTACTACGCCTGCAATCAAAGGATTAGCTGTAATCCCATATATTCATGGTGTTTCACATAACCTGAAGAAATTAGCAGAACATTGCAGCTTGCGAGTGGTTTTCTCGGCACCCATCAAGCTAAACAATCCTTGCCGAAAGACGAAACCGGGGCGCCCAGAGAAAGGTCTGTGCGAGAAGAATCACCGTATTAGGTTTGTCGCGTGCATCACAGGAGTCAGTCATCTACCGGATCCCATTAACGTGTGATGCATGCTATATAGGCCAAACCGGTAGATGCATCAATAATAGGCGGAACGAACACAAGAATAACGTGGCCAAGGCACTGCCTGAGGGTTTTCTTGCAATTAACTGCAAAGAATGCGGGTGCCAAACCCTCTTTAATCGCACCCTCTTTAATCGGAAGAAGGATTAACCAAATGACAAGGCTCATTATAGAAGCAAAATTCATTGCTAAGTTTGGGGACGCATGTATAAGCAAACCATCGGTATCATTATCATTGAAAGAATTGCATTATTTGGATGTCGCATGAGTTACAGTAGATCACAGTTTTCTGGTTCTAGCACGTGGTTGTGACGCGCCAGGTTTGGGTATAAGTATTGCTGTTTCCCGGATCAAACCGCATTGTTGAAAGTAGCGCCGTGTATGTGTTCTCTGTCTTCTTCTCTGTCCCGTCCTGGATGCGCTATACCTCGAACAATTTAAACTGGGCAACAGGTGTTTCCTTCCGTCTACTTTCAAGACAAGACCAAGGTTCACACCTTATAAAATACAATGATTGAAAAAAAATTTTAATGTGGGAACAGTACAAGCAATAAACACCAATGCCTGTATCGTTGTAATGACAACTTTTTTTTTTACTTTTGTATCCTATAAACGCATGTTCACACCAATGTGCAAACTATGCTAGCCACCTCCTGCCAAGCCTACTTTTGCAATTACAAAGAAACAAGGCAACCTTACTAGTAAGACAGCACACCAACAGGAACACTCAATTTATACTTTGTGGGATGGAGAAAATAAACAAGGCCAAATGTCTTCCAACCAAGTGCACTGTTCAAGCAGCAAGCAGTCAATGTGTTCTGAACAGTTATAATTAATACACCAGATAAAAAAAAATTTCATGCTGACAATCGAACAGCATTAGCTATGCACATCTGCTTGGCCAAGCAGCACTCGCGGAAAACAGGAAACGGCAAAAAAAGAAAGAGGGGTGGGGGGCAATCGTACAGCGTGTTTCCAGGAGACGCCTTCGCTTAACGGACCGCACCACGCAGCTTCACGACACCCGAGGAGTCCTCCAGTCCACTTCGCCCTGGCGATGACAGAAGGCAGGTTAGAGGTTGAGCCTACGCCGGGCCATCTTAATTCTGCGCGATGCAGCACGCTCTGGCGGGAGGCTGGCAGGTACGCTTCTCTTCTCCGAAGTGTCGACAGTTGGCTGCTTTGCCTTGGTTCGGTGTGCACTGTCAATGATAGATTCCAGGCAGCGGCCAAACTCCTCCAGCACGGAGCGCTCCATATCGACAAAGGACTTCTTGAGACGCTTGGTCTCTTCAGCGCGTGAAAGTAGGCACTGGCAGGTGGCCTCCGCCACTTCTTGAGTCATGAAGGCAAACGGCAGCCTGCACACAGAAACATGCACGTTCGGCAAAGCAAAGTATGCAACAACACCCATTCTCAGCCCTATGGTGACTGCACTGGGAGCTTTCTATCAGCGCCCACACACATTCATACGTCAACTCCAAATGTCCACAAGCAAAGCGCGCTTAGCCTTCAACATGGTGGAAATACACACAGCAGCCGATAGATGGCAGCAGATTTCACATAAGGTATATAGCCCTATTCGCCAATTCGAAATTTTTAATAATTTCCGTTTTTACCGAAGCAAATTCAAATATTGATTGATTTGTGGGGTTTAACGTCCCAAAACCAACATATGATTATGAGAAACGCCGTAGTGGAGGGCAGCAAATTCAAATACTGTAATATTCATTAGAATATTAGTGAACTAAAATTCAAATAACCCAAGTTCCAATCGAAGTAAATTAAAATACTGTAATATTCATTTGAATACTCATACAAGCCTACTCAATAAGCGCTGCTTGAAATGAATATCCCCTGTGCTACTTAATTACTCACCATAACCATGATTTCCAAAGTACAGTTCTCTTTGTCATGGAGAAGTGCACTACAAAAAAGTGACATTCTGGGGTGTAAGTAAACTTGCTCAAAATTACTAAATTTGAAGAGAAGCTTGAAAGGCCATCGTTTTGATAGCTTTCTCACCACCCAATGGACTGTCACAAAGTCCTTTGAATAGCCTGTGTATATTCTCTATACAAGAATGTACAATAGATGTATGACAATGTCTCCAATATCCTCATTTTAACTCTTTTTTTTAAAACATCTGAATATTATTTCTCCTTGCTTTTCTTCTGTGGTGTGAGTATGATGGGTTAGTGCATCAATGATGCTTTAATTTGAGTGATAGTAACATGAGAGAAGACCAGGAGAGGCTTGAGGTCTAATAATGACTCTTCATCATTATATAAAAAAATACGTGGCATGACACAAGGCTAAGGACCGTTTGGATATAAATAATGGAGGACCATTTTTAACAATGCAGACAAATGCAAACTAGACATTGAGCAGAGACATATGCTACATAAGTCGGAGCGCATACACAAAACAAGCCACAAACTTATTTCACCTTTCTCCCGTCTCAGACACTGGAGCAGGTCGGATGGGCAGGTCACAGGCCGACATCTTGGTGCGAGCAGCAGCCTGCTGTTGCACACGCACTTCAGCTGCATCTGCCAACTGCATCAATGTCTTGCGCTCCGAGCTGTCCTCAAAGTTCTTGCAGCCAACACATTTACAATTGCTACTGCAGAGGATCTTGGCCTGGAATGAACAAAACATGTGTCACCTTCATACGCATGGACAGGGGGCGATGGAACGAAAAGCTAGTTTATCATGACTTTATTCCTATCTCCTGATGCGAAGTTTCATGTACTTGTTAACACTAGCCTAGCCAAGCACCTTCAAACTATTCTGAAGAGCCCAACAAAAAGCATTTACGAAAGGTCCTCTTCTGTTTGGTATAAAAAGTCACGAGCATTACCATCTCCTACACTTTTCCTCAATCTCACTGGCTCATGCAAGTTAGGAAGAGCTGTGGGAAATGGAAGAATTCCACCATTTCTCCCACTGCAAGGCACGCCATCTAATTTTCTCCCATACAACCTCCTCGCCACCCTCCCAAGTGACATCAAGCAATTTATAAACATGACAATCCATGTGCTGACTGGCCAAAGGGACCGACATCGATAGCTGCCAAAAGCTGATTGCCAAAATCATTGAAGAAGCATCCAGGAGAGCGGTGAAGATGAACGCCGAGAGGCTGCGACCGCTTCAAAGATAACTGCTTGAAATACATTCTGGCCTACTCATTTCCTGCTCTGTGCACCAGCAAGGCACCGAGATTGCCCTTTTTAGGAAATCCCAAATAAATGTTTGGTTTGTTTTATTACTAATGCATGAGTGTGTTTGGTCTACAATATTAGAGTAGAGTGCATCCTAAGTTAATAAAGCACCGGGTGTGTGTGTGCGCGCGCGCTTGTGTGTATTAGGAAGCTAAGCAGTCTATGTAGCACCTAAGTAGAAACTAGGCTGAATGGAACCCACCTACAGTATGTAGAAACAGTGGGTTTTGGCAGGGCCAAGCTATAGTAAAGCAAGAGTATATCACTGGGGCAAGATGACTGCACTAGCATTTCCAAATGGTCAACTTCCCCTTGCTTAGTTCTAAGGTGGTCCCAATAGGGTTGCAAAACTGACGTGAAAATGTATCCTCGGCAAAGAAGAGTTGCCAGAGTAATCACAGGGGAGCCTCTCTGATACAAGACAGTCTCTAGAACTACATATTCGTAGACATAAGTTTTCTCAATAATTCATCCTAACGCATATCTACTACTTTGAAGATGTGAGTTTTCACGGTTTTCTGACATTACGTGATGTACAGGGAAAGAGAGAAGACCAAAATTCTGACGAATAGAAAATAGTAGAATCAGAATTTTTTTTCAGCCTAGTCATTCATAAGCAGCTTCTGAAACTGACATGGCCCCAACAATTTCGACCATGAAGTCAAAATGAAACAAAAACAGGTTGAAACAGTTTACATCATAGCGACCACAGACTTGAGAACAACCAATAAATGCAATGAAATACCTGATCCATCTCCAAAGGCAATCCAAGTCCCTTATAATGTCCCAAAACTTTTCACTAGGTGCTTGAGTCAGCTAACAATGCTGCAGTATAACACTAACTACAGCGTGCTTCAGCCAAAAAATGCTAAACCTACACAGAACACGCAGCTCAGTTCCAGCAAACGCTGCAAGATACCCACTACACTATGAATCATCATAATTTTGCAAAGAAGAAGAAGTACCCTTTATGCTAATACTCATCATTCTGAAGAGAAGCAGAGTACCCACTACACATCTGTAAAGTTCTTAGAGACCTTGTTGATGCTGTGCCTTATTAAGGGCGGGAAGCTTTAGTAAGGGTGGGAATATTTAAATCGTCAACTCATTATGCAATTTGCATTGTGTGACACCTGGTGTTATTTTACTCTTCTACATTGGCTAGAGAGCCCAAGATGCGGCAGTGAGGCTAGGCCCCACCCGTGGGCGGTGACGACACGATGTGGGCTGCTATAGAAGCGGCACTTCTCAGGACCATAATGCTGCTCTTTGTCATTCTGTCTACCATGCTATATCCTTGACCGACAACTGTGCCCGTACAGGGTATTTCTGCAAAAAAAAAAGATTAAAGCATTGGCTCTCTCTATAACAGAATACTTGACTATCCAAAGAGGGCCTGGGGGGATTTTTTTGTTGTTTTTGGCATTTTGTGTGATAGTGGCTAAAAGTACCAGCGGTGGCAGACAACTATGCCACCAGAAATTGGCTGTTGTGAACTTTAGAACAGCTTGTGCTGTAAAACCTGAAGCAACAACTTAAGTGACTCATGGCAGCCAACGCGTCACTAGGGGATCCCAGAGCAGCCAATGTTTGTATCAGCTGCTGACTTCATTGCACGAGAAAAACTCACTCTTGGTCTAGTTGGCGAGATACTGAATGTATAGTTAGCCGCTACAAAACACAAACACACACGCAAGAAAAGAAGACGAGGACGCCGACACAGGTGGCACTCCGAACTAAATCTATTTGTAGATCTCCTAGGAGACAAGACAAGACAAATCAATTTGTGTCAAGACACAAGAAATACATTAAGCTTGCGAATAGTCCGGACCCACACATAGTCTGAGGTGTATTTGGGGGATAGCGAACGGAAGAAGAGGGAGGGCAGGAATAAATTGAAAGAAAGGCAGGGAGGTAAACCAGAATTGTAGCAGATGGGATAAAAAATGTTTTCACCCTAGTATAGCCCGAGCAAAACAGAAACTAAATACATTTCTTCATACACTTATTCATCGTCATCTGGGAATTTTCTTCCAACACTCCATGGTCAAAGATGTGCTCGTATCGCATTTCATGTTCAGTACCATCATGGACGTTTGAAATTGAGCTCTTCTTGAGGGCACGACGAACAGGCGCCTCGGGAATACAGACCCAAGCTTCGGCAATCTATGTGCACAGCACCACTGGCGAGGCCCGTTTCAGCCGTCCGGCAGGAGTCACTTGTGACATTACGGACCTTGTGATGCGGTCCTTGAATTGTTTATTTAGTCACATATTAAACGACTGCAGCCGATATCCGAGATGATGACGAGCACAGCATCCCGGGAGTCGTGCAGCAGTCACTTCGTGGAGGTTACAGCGAAACACGTTAAGCACAAGTATTAAGGGGAGATGTGACTTGAAAAAGACGTTTCGTGAATTTGTAGGCTAGGGCAATGGAATTTTCGCTGTATATATAGAATTTTTTTATGCTTGAGATAAACACATTTTAAAGGTGTAAGTCAAAGCTCATTTATGCAGCAAACATATAATTTTTAAAATGGCTTCTTCCATCGTGAGAGCTTGGCAATCATTGTTATTTTGAGCATGTAGATTTAATGAACTCCTTAGTTTTGGGACATGTTATTTAGTGAACTCCTCATGCAAAATGCAATGGCAAGCAGCCATAGGACAATTTACAGGGGAATCTAGACAATGAGCTCTTTTTAGTATTTGGTAGCCACCTTGTGCTCTTTAAAAGCGATTTTAACCTACTTTAATTACAATTTTTAGTTTAATTACAACTTTCATTTTTTTGTGAATAAAGAAACCATAAGTTAATTTCCTACTCCTCAACTTGCTTCAACACTAGCTAAGGAGGGAAGATGTTTGAGGTTCGGAACGGGTCCCCTCGATGACTCGAGTGCACGGTGGCAGCGCGAAGGAAGAGCCGTAGTCCGGTGAAGAGACGCTTTATTGCAGCCTCAGGCTACTGCCCGAGTCCAAGCCCGAACATCAGCTCACTACTGGGCATGGGCATTAGGACTGCTTTCAGCTCTTTCGCGTACCGTGTGATACTAGAATGCTGGTTCCGGTTTTCCGGCTTTACTGACAAGGCACGCGATCACTTCACTTTCTCAAGCCCAAGCTTGAGCTTCAACACTTCAATCTCAAGCAGCAACTCGCGGGTGCGATCCGATTCATTCACACTGTCACCTTCCATGACATCTTGCTCTGAATCCGCCATCTCGCAGAGTGTGCCTGAACGCAAGTGCATTCAGTTAAAGAAAAATTGGGGGCCCCGAGAGTGCACAAAGCAGGCCTCACCTTGCAGTGATGCGTCGCCCGATGAACTTGACAGTATATAGAACTGCGTCCGTCTCGTCACCAACGCTATATGCGACGACCACTTCCAATGCAGCAGGTCTCCGCCCGGTCACCCCTGTCGCTGACTCAGTCTGTCACATCGACTGTCCCTGCTGCTCTGCTCCTGAAGCAGCACCCTGTAGTGGCTCTCCGGTAAGTCCGTCATCCAACGACGACCTTTGGCTCTGCTCTCGTTCAGTGACGCGCAGTGCTCTTGCGCTGCCGAACTCCAGGCTCCAGTGTTGACCGGCAGGCTTGTACCGAATGTCAATGCTGCTTCTCGCAGCCCTACAGCAGGTCCCGAAGCGGTGAGCGTCTTGTCAGCTTCCCGGACTTCAGCGCCTTCCTTGCTGCGGGCTCTCCACTCCACGTCGACTGCGCCAGGTAATTTCCTCCTCCTCGACTAGCTTCTACACTAGCCAAGGAGGAAAGATGTTTGAGGTTCGAAATGGGTCCCCTCGATGACTCGAGTGCACGGTGGCAGCGTGAAGGAAGAGCCGTAGTCCGATGAAGAGACGCTTTATTGCAGCCTCAGGCTACTGGCCGAGTCCAAGCCCGAACATCCGCTCTCATTTCAAATTCAAACATCCTCTTTTCAACCCTCGGTTGACCAAAGAGTCTTCACAAAAAACCAATCACATGTTGGGACTCGCATCATCACAACCAATCGCAGAAAACCCTTCATAACATGCACTAGATTGGTTAAAACCACGTTACAAAATAAAACACGCAAAGGGATAGGTTCTGCACGTGTGACACTCTCTCCTATGCCAGACCGTGCTGCCTCCGTCGGCCGACTTCCGTCGGCAGCCGTTCTCAGGCTCGAGCCCCGTCAGCTCTCTCATTAAATGTTGCTTCGTAGAAGCCTCCCTAAGAGCGGTGGGTACACCGTTGGGCTCCGCGCGCTTACCATGTGTGCATGCGACAGCGAGGCGCGCCGACATCCTAACAGCACTCGGTAATGACGTACAGCGGGGGAGGTTATGCTCGTCTCCCTGTCGCCACTATGTCTCGGTCAGCCAAGTGATCGCGTCCCCGCGTCATTCTCAATGGCACGCGTGCATGCCAACAATG